TCATCTTCATTTGATTACCGTCAAGCGTGTTGGTCTGTGGTCACCCTGGAGTGTCTATAGTTATAATCGAAACTTTATAAAATTTTCACAGCCTAATTCACGAGCCACCTTCCTCCACCCATCACCATGCCCTAGTAAACATAACTTAAATAGCCTCCATAACAAGGTATATCACTAGAAATTACATTTATCTGAACTAATAATATGGTTAAGAAGTCAGAATCGTATTTAACAATATAATACATACTGTGTAGGGCTTTGGTATCTCCTACGTGAATAAAATTGTCTGGCGTTGTACAGAATAAAAAACCCAAAGGAGCCGCTGCCACACCTGAGGGAGAGAGTCTTAACAGGGAATGTAGTTACCTGATGGCCTTAGTCACCTGATGGCTTCATTTACCTGATGGTTTTAGTTACCTGATCTCAGTAGTTACCCGAAGCTTTAGTTACCCGAGGCATTAGTTACCTGAGGTACCAGTACCCGAGGCTGTAGTTACCTGAGGCATCAGTTACCTGACGGTATTAGTTACCCGAAGCATTATTTACCCGAAGCTTTAAGGATCTGAGGCATTAGTTACCTGAGCCTTTAGTTACCCGAGACATTAGTTCCATGAGCCTTTAGTTACCTGTGGCATTATATACCTTAGATATTATTTGCCTGAGGCATTTGAAACCCGAGACATTAGTTACCTGAGGTATTAGTTACCTGAGGCATTAGTTATCTGAGGCATTAATTTCCTGAGGCATTAGTTACCTGAGGCATTAATTTCCTGAGGCATTAGTTACCTGAAGCATTTGTTACCTGAATGTTCTCGAGTTGATGAGTACGACTGGCAGACTTAGTAATGGGGATGATGTCGAGCTGATGGAGGAAGCGGAGGAGGACCTGGGCCGGGGTTTTGTGGAGACGAGCGGCCACCTCCTCCACCACTGGGTCATTCAACACCGAGGTCTGGTCACTCCTGCACGGTTGGTCACAAGGAAGGTGATACGATACCTTCGACAGTAGTATTTTGCGAGTTTTGTACAGAGTTTCCATCGGCATTTAACACAAATATTTATATGCATGACACTCATTTGCATTTAAAAAATCTACCAATTTGAATAATATACAGTATTATTACAATCCATACAACCATGTACCATATTATGTTGTTAAGAGGCAGTGGAATGGAGAGTACAGCACCAAACCTCAAGTAAGTGCAGGAAGGATATATCAAACTGGATAATAACACTGATAGACGAAAACAATGGAAACAAGGAATGGCAGCAGATATCTTATGATAAACAAATTAAGAACAAAGATTTATGTGAGAGGCGGGGAGGTGTGAGAGGCGGGGAGGTGTGAGAGGCGGGGAGGTGTGAGAGGCGGGGAGGTGTGAGAGGCGGGGAGGTGTGAGAGGCGGGGAGGTGTGAGAGGCGGGGAGGTGTGAGAGGCGGGGAGGTGTAAGAGGCAGGGAGGTGTGAGAGGCGGGGAAGTATGAGAGGCAGGGAGGTGTGAGAGGCAGGGAGGTGTGAGAGGAAGGGAGATATGAGAGGCAGGGAGGTGTGAGAAGTGAGTGACACTGTTGGGTTAAGAGCGTAACAACAGGTATGAGAGAGGAGTTTATAAATTAGACATGGACTTCATGTGGACGAAGACAACAGACAAGTACAAAGAGAGAACTTTTTTCTTGTATTCTATCAGGTTCATGCATGTGTTAATTCCAGTAGAGATGACACGAGATTATACAGTACCCAGAATGTTTGTAGGGACTTCCAAGGGGGCTGTAGGCACATAGTGCAATGTTGTTCTCCTGGCAGAAGGTACGTAAAGGTCTCTCTTGAAAGTAGGCGTTGGCCTCCACCTGCAGTACCGCCGGCTTCACCTTACACACTAGAAGGATTAATACAAACCCTTACGTCTCCTCTCCTCATTACGGACTCATACAAAATTCCCTACCTGATCACCTAATGAAAGTGGGTTCCATAGGCATGACTGTTCGTTAGGGACAGTATGGGTAGAGCGCACTGTATACTAAGCCATCACTGAGGATTCACTTCCCCAAATTGTAAACTTAGGTACCCATTTACAGCTGGGTGAACTGGGAGCGCTCTGGAATCGAATCACCGACCCCTAAGACAGGAGGCGAGCATTGTACCCACTCCACCTCCTAATAGGATGTCTAAAAATATATATACACACAGCGTTACAGATTTAGGTGAAGACTGCGTGAACGTTTATATTACAGCAACAACACTGCCCTCGCTTGTTAACATGCAAGGTCTCCCACAAGTGAGGACAATGTTGTTTAACCTTACCTTTGAGGATTCGTTTAATCTGTTGAATGTTGAAGTTGGAGAGTCCTATAGCCTTCGTTCTCCCGGCCTCTACCTATCGAGAAATAAAAATAGATTGCTTATCCCTCATGGTAGTTAATTTACCACCTGCCTCATGCATACTTAAAGTGCGCAAGCTTATGCATTTTGTACTTAGGTTTCGCATGTATTTTTTTATCTTCTTAGTGAAAACGTTGGTCTAAGAAATTTTCATTAACACACACACACACACACACACACACACACACACACACACACACACACACACTCTACTAATACTGCTTTGCTGTCACTTGGAATCGAGTATTACGATCATCCAGCTGTGATACAATGATATGAGTTATTAAAGATGTCACATTCGTTGGTGAGCTCTGAGGTGACTCGAGAAGCCGATACGGGACCGGCAGGACCGTCCACAGATGCTGCACGTGTGAAAGGCTACATCTAGCGAGGGAGGGGCGAGGGCAGTGTCTTTCCGGAACTTATGCTTGTCTGCCTCGATATGCAGTCGGCTTGGCATGGATTAATTTACTGTAATTTACTGGCCGGCCACAACTCAGGTCATTACGGCCGTAGCGGTTGTACTTGTTGATGGACCCACGGCTTTTCTAGGTGTTCTTCGAATCACTGGGCAGTTTAACAACAAATGCGCAGCACACAGCCATTTTTTTTTAAGGGGGGATATTTTATTTATAGTCAATGATGATGGATGGACTGCTTCATAGATGTGTGGGTTGAATGACCGTGTGCTGTATGAGTGAGGTAGTATGGTTGTGCACAACAACCTTTTCTCTGACTTTGTCCCACCTCCTTCTATTACTTTGGGCCTCAACACACTCCAGGTTGTGGGCTCCACTAAGCTCCTCGGCGTCACCATAGATAACAAACTAAATTGGAAAACACAGGTCAGTGTAATTGTCAAATCCTCCAGTTTTCGTCTCCACCTCCGCCGACTCAAGTCCCTAGTCCCCGTATCCAAGCTCCTCAGTGCTTACTCTACATTCATTTTTCTCAAGCTCACCTTTGCTTACCCTGCCTGGTCTTCCTCCTTAAATTCCACACAACGGAAACCCCTAGAAAAAGTGCAGAAGAGGAATGCAAGATTATTTTCTCCCCTTCTTAATCTACATACCAAGAAGCACACAACACATTGACCCTTTCGGCTCTCTCAGATCATCACCATGAACTCATCTGCAAATTTGGGGAGAAGCTTCTGCACCACCCTCGACACCGGCTCCTGCTTCCACCGGAGATCCCTTGTCCGCGACATGCTATTCGACACCACAACAGCATTCAGCCCATATGAGTACTATTCTCTATAAGAACAACCCAGTCCCAATCATTGTAAAAATTATCAACAACACGTAGTTAACCAGTATGTTCACTCCCAGCCAATCTTACTTATGCATTATTACGATGTTGAAATTCTCTGTATATTAGTTGTCAATCAAGTGACCCATTCCTCAATTATGTAACTGTATATTTTCAGCCCCTAGACTGCCATGTTGTTTCAATAAACCGTTAATTATTATAATTATTATTATTATCATTATTATTATTACACACACACACAGACACACACACACACACACACACACACACACACACACACACACACACACACACACACACACACACACACACACAGCCATATAAAAACGAGAGAGAGAGAGAGAGAAAGACTTAAGAAGAACATAAGAACATAAGAATGGCGATAACTGCAGCGGGCCTTTTGGCCCATTCTATAGGCAGTCCCGTTTACATCTGACCCCTATCACTAATATTGCCATCAAACCTATATTTGAAGCTACCTAGCGTGATTATGATGTTTGGTAACTTGTTCCACTCATCCACTACTCTATTTTGAAACCAATATTTACCTATCTCGCGCCTAAATCTACAGTAAATTTTACTAATTTAAAACCAATGCTATGAGTTCGCTCCTGGTTGGATAGTTTAAGTACCTTTGTTATATCACCTTCCATTTATACACCTTGATCATATCGCCTCTCACTCTACGTCTCTCGAGGGAATGATAATTCAAGGTTCCTAATGCCCGGGATTAGTCTTGTCATCCTCCTCTGTATGCGTTCTAGTGATTCGATATTCATTCTGTAGTACAGTGACCAAAACTGAACTGCATAATCCAATTAAGGTCTCACAAGTGCAAGGTATAGTTTTAGGATAACCTCGCTAGTCTTGTAACTGGCACTTCTTTGTATGAACCCAAGTACTTTATTAGCCTTGTTTCGAGTAAATACTTATTAAAGACTTGGTTTAAGATTCACACTGTATCAACCTTTGTTCATCTGATATCTGGTTTCCCTGTTTACACTCCTAGGCTAAATACTGGTATTGGTATTGGTATACTTGTGCCTCCATGGCTCTCCAGACAGCAACGTGGTCCGTCTCGTAGTCTAAAGTCCAATTGCTCTCGTCTGCGACACTTATAAACTCTTCTTTATTGTTGGTAGCTGAGAGAGAGAGAGAGAGAGAGAGAGAGAGAGAGATATATATATATTCATAATCTGTGAGTATAAGTACATACTGTTTTAAGAGTGAACACACATTAAAATTATTAAAACGGGAAGAAATTACTTAAAATTGCACTAAATTAACTCATTTAATAGGACCACCTCTTCTTCTGACAACAGAAGAACAGCAGTAACATTAACCATATCTCCCCCTGACAACAATAACAGTAATCATCTCTCCCCTGACAACAATAACAATAATCATCTCTCCCCCTGACAACAATAACAGTAATCATCTCTCCCCCTGACAACAATAACAATAATCATCTCTCCCCCTGACAACGATAACAGTAATCATCTCTCCCCCTGACAACGATAACAGTGATCATCTCTCCCCCTGACAGATAACAGAGATCATCTCTCCCCCTGACAACAATAACAGTAATCATCTCTCCCCTGACAACAATAACAATAAGCATCTCTCCCCTGACAACGATAACAGTAATCATCTCTCCCCCTGACAACAATAACAGTAATCATCTCTCCCCCTGACACCATCATCTAACAGTAATCATCTCTCCCCCTGACAACAGTAACGTTTACCATCTCTCCCCCTGACAACAGCAACGTCAAGTTTTGTTCTTTATTTGTTTAATCTAGGCAAATATAACATAGCATAGCATAGCATAGTATAGCATAACATATTACATAACATAACATACACATCATAACATAACAACATAATATAACATACATAATATAACATAACATACACATCATAACATACAAAACATAACATAACATACACATCATAACATACATAACAACATAATATATCATAACATACATAATATAACATAACATACACATCATAACATACAAAACATAACATAACATACGCATCATTACATACATAACAACATAATATAACATACATAATATAACATAACATACACATCATAACATACAAAACATAACATAACATACACATCATTACATACATAACAACATAATATAACATACATAATATAACATAACATACACATCATAACATACAAAACATATTGAATATGTAATCATCTCTACCTTCAGCTCTTACTTAACTGAATAAACAGGTTATAAATTAATATGAAATTTTTACTCTTTCTACAATACTAATTTGGTTATTTAATTAGTAACGTAGCTCTGTTAAGTAACTTTTCAAAACATTTGTCAGAAGCCTCGGCCATCTTTAGTAGTGTATGGCTTATAGTTTATTACGTTATGGATAAATAAACTTTCCACTTAAATTAAATTTTAGTTGCAACGTCAATCATCTCTTTCCCTGACAGCAGCGACGTCAATCCATCTCTCCCTATTTAGTAGCGTCAAGTCTGCAGGAGTCTTACCAGAGGTCGACGAGTCTTACCAGAGGTCATACGAGTCTTACCAGAGGTCGACGAGTCTTACCAGAGGTCATACGAGTCTTACCAGAGGTCGACGAGTCTTACCAGAGGTCATACGAGTCTTACCAGAGGTCGACGAGTCTTACCAGAGGTCATACGAGTCTTACCAGAGGTCGACGAGTCTTATCAGAGGTCATGCGAGTCTTACCAGAGGTCGCCGAGTCTTACCAGTGATACCAATGGGAAAGTGGACGAGGTACAGGTCGACGTAAGAAAGGCCCAAATTGGCCAAGGACTTCTGAAGCGACATGGCCACATCCGCCTCCCGGTTATGATCCGGGGAAAGCTGAGGGAACATTTATAATTATTATAACATTATGTTTTATGCAATGGTTTGGCATTCAAGGAGAATAGGGCTCATTAGATACTGTATATTTAAATTACAAATGCGGTACGTCAGAGAAATTAAACAAACAACATTTCTCTTGAATCATATTTACAACTCCACAAGCCTACAAAAAATAACTTGACCTACCTTGGTGGTGATGAAAAGGTCCTCCCGCTTAACCTTGCCCTGTGAGGTCCATTTTTTTAGGCTTCTCCCTATCGCGGCCTCGTTGCTGTAAGCATAAGCTGTGTCGAAGTGCCGGTAACCGCACTCCAGTGCTGTATCCAACACCTCCATCACTTCTTCCTCCGTTTGCTGTGAGTTTTTGGTAGAAGAAGAGATGCAACATCACTTCGTCTGCTTAAACTCTCGCACAATAATTGATAACTGTATGTAACTCTAACTATTATGTTCTTTATTATATCAAATACGCTGAGTCAGAAGCGTTAGTTGATATATTAGGTGATTCTCTTTCTGGTAAACCGAGAGAGAGAGAGAGAGAGAGAGAGAGAGGTATATGTACGGAATTAATGCCCACGTAATTCTTAAGTGGCCAGGCAGTAGTGACAGTCAAGGTCTCAAGGTGAGGGAGGGGGCGGGGGACAACCACCACAATGCAACTTGTATTATATACCAGTGAATTTGGTCTCAAAATACACATATAGACTTGCAGTGATTATAATGGAACCTTAGTACAGTAAATGACTATACTATTTCCATGCTAACCTGGCCCGTAAGCCACACCCTCGTCTGCAGCTACCAATAGCTGATTGGTTCATAAAAAATTTTCGTGTAGCTATCAATTTTTTAAATAATGTTAAATATCTGGACTATCAAAATGCAAAGGATTTCAAGGCATTAACAATTCAGAGAGGATGTACTGAACATAAAGCAAATAGAAACAAATGATGCCAAACATATAGCACAAGTGGTAATGAAATGCAGTTTGTATGGCTGTATATATCCCAAATCATTTATATGACTGACAGGTAACTCAAGTGAATCTGAGTTTATCCATGTTTCGCTGACTGCTATTATATCGATTTCTTTTTTTCTGTACATACCAGGGCTCTGATTTCATCCATTTTATTTCTCATACTTCTACTGTTCACTTAGTAGATGTTTAAGTTATTCGTGAACTGAGTCTTCTCTCTGTTGCATTTTGGTTTTAATTCTCTGACTAAATTAGTTTTATCGTCATTTCTAATAAGAGTTTTATGTAACCTTTCATTATGTAACTCAGTTCTCACTGGAGTTTTCTCGACCCCCGTGCACTCATGTTCTCTTATCAGTTTAACTATGAACTACCCTCTCGAGAGAGCCAGAGAACGTTGCCACCCCGTCCCTAGATAAATGTACCCCATCTCCAGCATAAAGGTCCCTTCTGCATTAGAAGTTGTCCCAGTTGTCAATGAATGGGTCTGATACTGACTTGCAATATCTGTCCTTGACAACCATCCATTGCCAACTCTCCTTCTAAGCAGGATACCACATATGACTGGGAGCTAATTTGTCGTGACCCTTCCTCGAGTGAGGTCATACGACAACTGAGTGTTAGTGCACTGCTCAATAATAATTTAAAATTTGTGTTTACTCAAGTCTTTTGATATAATAAATGTAATATCTTGCACGTCCCAGGGAGGTTTCTAGGGTTGTGCAATAATTTCCTGGTTTGACAGTTGTGCCAATCTTTTTTTGTTGTGTACCATTTTTTCCTACTATACCTTGACTGTTGCTACTGCTGTGCTACATGTACGGAGTTGCTTGTGAATCAAGGAACATAACATGCTTGAAACTGTACCTGACCTTGGAGATAATTGATAATATACAAGTAGTGAGATTGTGATGGCCTTGGTAAGAGAGTTGCCTCAATATAATAACTCTTCTCTCTCTTACACACACATTTTAATGCATGATTTGCTAACTTTACACTGATCTACTTATTTCACATGTGGAAATAATATTTTATATGTCTGGGGAATAATAAGAGAAAGGGTACGCAGTGATTCATCAGGGTATGGTGATGTAATCCCTCATGCTTTTTACTTTGAAATTGTCAAGTGAGCATGATCCTTTTCTTGTTTGTGGCCTGATCAGAGGCATCTGAGAAAAGTTAAGGCTCATGGTATCGAGGGGAAGTTTTAAATTGGATAAAATCATGGCTCACCGATAGAACACAGAGGGTCAGCGTAGATAAATTTAAATCCGAGTGGTGCTGTGGAACTAGTTGGGTTCCCCAGGGGTCAGTACTGGGCCCACTCGTGCTAATAATTAATCTACATAAACGATCTGGGATTCTGGGATCAGCAGTGGCAGAAGCAAGTTTGCGGATGATACCAAAATAGGGCGGCAGATTAATTCAGGGCAGGATGTAAATGCACAACAAGAGGATTTAAGTAAACTGCAGGAGTGGTCAGAAAAATGGCTAATGAAATTCAACACCAGCAAGTGCAGCGTACTTAATATTGGAAAAACAAATACTGTCAATGCATATAGCCTTAACAACATCAACCTAGAGAAGTCGACTTGTGAAAGAGAACTAGAGGTACTCATAAGCCCGGACCTTCGGCCTAGAAAACAGTGCGTTAATATTCGAAATAAGGCAAACAGATTATTAGGTTTTATATCCAGAAGTGTGAGTAATAAGAGTGCGAAGGTCAGTTCTGGTGCCCTTATTATAGAATGGATATCAATTTACTGGAGTCTGTGCACCGAAGAATGATGAAAATTATTCCAGGACTTAGAAACCTTCACTATCAAGATAGATTAAAGAAGCTAGACTTGCATTCTCTAGAAAGACGAAGAGTGCGGGGAGATATGATAGAAGTATTTGAGTGGGTGAAAGGAATCAATAAAGGAGATATCGATAACTTTCTTATAATATACGAGCAGGATAGGACTCGTCGCAACGGATTTAAGTTGGATAAGTTTAGGTTTAGGAGGAAAATCAGAAGAAACAGGTTCATAAAAATAGGGAGGTGGACGAGTGGAACAAGCTTAGCAACTTTGTAGTAAGTGCTGAGACGCTGGGAAGTTTTAAAGGGAGGCTACATAGATTCATGGATGATAGAGAGTGGTTGTAACTCTCGGGAGGAGCTGCCATGCACAGGCCAGCCGGCCTATTGCAGACTCCTTATGTTCTTATGTTCTTACGATGAAAGGCTCTCAGTTTATGGTGTCTTTTTCTGTTTACATGTTGGGTGTGTGTTTCTGACGTAGTGTTAGTGCATGGAATATATTTACCAATGATCACTAGCATATTCGAACCCAGCCCCAGCATAAGACTTACCTTGCTCCTGACCCCCAGCGTACCTGTGCCAAACCCCAGCATAGGAATCTCGGAGCCTGAGGTAAGGAGGCGTGAAGGGACGGGCGCCATGGTGTAACCTATTTCTCAACGCAGATTCTCACCCACACTTCTAATAGAGACGGACTTGGTGAGTTGATTGATAAATTTTATCTTATCATTTGTACATTGTACCCCTTTTCCTGTGTGTTTTTATCAATATTTATCTTATCAACGTTTCCATTATAAACAAATGTTCGTGAATCATCACTGTTCTTTCACTACCATATTATTAATATCCTATAAGTCACACAAAAATAATATATCCTACACACAAAATATTATATCGACACAAAATATTATATCCTTACAGAAATGCTGAGCTATGGGTCTCGCCCTCTTGGGTAAGTTGCCCGCTCACGTGTCAATCTCATGTCTTACTCATAGACAGTGGAAAGTTACAGGGTGGTGAATCTGAATATAATATCAGATGTATTGACCCATTTATATAATACGTTCTGTTGATGAGACAGGGGCCTATTACACTACACACAAAATATTATATCCTACACACAAAATATTAAAACCTACTTTCCTCCACCTTCCATAATTCACTCACGCACTCAACTAAACACAATGTATACTCAAGTTTATGTTTGTATGCCTATGTGTTGAACTATATAGGCACCGTGTCCTTTCCTCAGTCACGTCAAACCTCTTTCTATCTGTCCTGGGTACCATGGACTCACAACGTCACAAATCATATATCCGCTTTCCAGTAGCGCCTACAACGTCACTTCTGATTCGTTTCACAAGCTCGATCCCTACGTAGATACAGTCCCGTTCTATGATTGCCCACGAGGTCTAGCTATGGTTGTTGTTAGCGTTGTTGCTGTGGTTGTTTCCAATATCTTCTTTCCACTTTCGGGATTCATGTCACGTCACACATTATCTTAAGTGAAGTACTTTTTAGTGCAATAAGAGCCAGTCTTCATCTCCATTGGATTTTCGAGTAGTGAAGGTGTCTTGGGGGAATGTCTTACCAAAGCTTTACTTTTGTGAGAACAACAAAGGAAGGTTAAGGCAGATATCACAGGTTTACAGGGTATAATCTGAACAAAATATACAAGGTAAAAATGGAAGGTCCTCGTGGATCTCCTTCCTTATAGATCAGAAGGCAGCCAACTCTTGTACAGGGATGACCCAGAGTGATGGTGATAATGAACCACAGGAGACAGAGATTCAAGAAGATGTATAGTAGCTAATGGAAGCTCTTTAGTGCTCAAATATCATAGGTTTTGAGTATTTTATCGTGTTCTAACTTATTTTTTTCATTTGTTTTAATGAAAATATCACATTTGTGTCTATTTCCTACGCTATGAATACTTACAGCATTCAAGAACATAATCATTGTTACCGAGTATTAGTTGCAAAAATGGCCACTGTGTACTGTTGTACGCAAAACTGCATCTCACCTTATTGTAAAAAGGGCCAAAGTCATTTGAATGATACTCGTACGGCACTTTCCGTCTGCACTAGGGACCTACTATTAACACACACAGTTCTCCACTAGTGGGGCTTCCATCTACTTTTGTTTTGTAAACATATATCTAAAGGCTGATTTTATAATATAAATTGAAATCTTCCTTTGCCTCTCCTGATTTTTTTTTCTATGAGCGTCCACGTTTCACAGTTTTATGATGTAATCTTGGCATTTCGAATCATTCAGAAAATTGTGACGAACTGTTTATGCCAGTCAGGGGTCGCGTTACGTGGAGGATGTTTACTTTCTGTATTTGAATATAAAACATATGATAATTTTTAAAAACATCCTCACTGTTTCCTTTCTTTATCTCTTTGCCTGCTACGCTGTCTTTGTCATTCAGTCTGTGATAGTGATGCAGCCACACACACACACACACCTAGTGAGACACTCCCTGCACTCTGAAAATAATATATTGTGAGGGATATCAATCTGGCTTACCAGACAAATTCTCGATCATTTATCAAGATTAGAGACTTAGTATGGTGGGGCGCTAATGAATTACTCCCTCTACAAATATTGTTTTTGCCCTGTTCCCTCCTCCGACGTCAGTCCTTCAGCCTGTGTCATTAAAAGGATTTGTTTTAGTAATATTTTGTTATCCTGTTTCCTCTCGTATATGGATACCATCTATGGGAGAAAACAAAGAACTTTTTTTCTTATTAAGCCAGTGGATTGTGTATTGTGTTACAGTTCCTTCAATGTTGGATTTTAAATGGGATATCATAAGGTCTATAATAGGATTGAGCTACAGGTACAGTATTGACTCATAAAACGCTTTGGACTCAACCCACGTAGTCATCCACGCACCACAGATAAGGTCACTACAACTTAGTTATATATACTATTTTTCAATAAGTGTATATATTTATATATATATATATATATATATATATATATATATATATATATATATATATATATATATATATATATATATATATATATATATATATATATATATATATATATATATATATATATATATAAGGATCAGCTGAGTATTAACGACAAGACAGTGAGGATGTTGCTATGTCAGATCTTCCCATCTCTCTTACCTGTGATGCACGAGACCTATGAATCACTTGTGTTGTACAAGACATATTGTGGGGAATTATACGTGTGTGGGTTATGTGACATGGAATACAATAACTCAGGCCTGATGGATGGGATTTGATTTTGGAATAACATCTTAAGTTATCAATGGAATTGAACGACAGGTTAAAGGTGTGTTTCTGCGTGTATTTCAACATCTATCCTATCCTTGTGATGAGTCTGACACTAAGATAAAATGTATTATATATTATAAATAGAATATATACATAGAACTATGAGAAGACTATCGGGTAGTTTTAAGGAGTTGTGCTAATGATTTGGTTATTGAGTGTTGAAGGTGATTCATTATTACTTGTGACTGTTGGTAACGGTGGGGCCTTCTGCCACACTCGTGGCCATGTTGACTCTTTGATTTGTTCAGTTATTTATCCGCTTATATATCGAATTCATTGTCATTGTGTTGTTTGTTATTCTATCTATTTATGTTACATTTATCTTAAAGGCACAAGTACAATTGGATCTCATTAAGATTCAGAACGCCAGCTTATTCTACCTGATGATTAAACACCCAAATGCTAACCTAACCTAACGTAGTCTAACCTATTCAAATCCCCCCCATTGCGCCTGAGGGTGATTAATCATCGGATAAAATAAGCAAGGGTTCTTAATCTACCATAAAACCCAAACAATTATACAGGTAAAGAAAATTAAAGATAATTTTACAGTAACTATATATCAAAGCACAGAATATGATAAAAAGGTTCGATTATCCTAAATAATAATAATAATAATAATAATAATAATAATAATAATAATAATAATAATAATAATAATAATAATAATAATAATAATAATAATAATAATAATAATAATAATAATAATAATAATAATAATAATAATAATAATAATAATAATAATAATAATAATAATAATAATAATAATAATAATAATAATAATAATAATAATAATAATAATAATAATAATAATAATAATAATAATAATAATAATAATAATAATAATAATAATAAAACAATGATAAAACAATGATAAATGGTTAAATTGAAGGACTCGGTTATGTGGGAGAGTGTGAGGGCAAAGGGACAGCTTGGTGGTGAAAAATGTGTTGAGGGGATAAAACGTGAGGGTGCTTATATTCTAGGGATATGCTAGGGGTGTAGGGTGCCTGTCTCTCCCTAGTGGCGGGGAAATATACTGACACGTGGGGTAGCTGGCTATAAGCGACTGATATGGACAAAAATATGAAGTGAACAAAACAGTTAATTGGGAATTCATGTTGGATGGACTTCACTCGGCTTGGAGTGTGAGGTCTTCCTGTTGAATGAAGATGTGTGTCACGTGGTCTGGTGAGGCTGTGGCGCCATAGTGAAGGATAATTGTGTATGTTTTAGCCACACAGTGTACTGTAATTCGAGAGAAACTGATGATTCATTATATAGTATTTTAGACACATATCAGTAAGTCTGGAGTGAAAAATATTACATTAATAGCAATAAAATATTTCATCATAAAATACATAACAAATGTAATTATGAACATATGACAGTGGTAATGACGCCATTCCCTCTAATGACACGAAATATAACAATGAAGGAATAACAACAAATGCTCTTTAATGTCAACAGTGAAGCACATCAGCTGAAACACTTCTAGGAACACGGGCGGGGTAACAGGAAATAGTTGTCTATATGAGTTGGAAAAACACGAGATATATCTATTGTTTACAGGCAATGTTATGTTGATAGTAGTTGATGAGTTATAAGACAATTAGTTCACTGGAGTTTAATGAAGGAGTATCAGTACAGAGGCAAGAGCACGGGACAGACGTGTGTTCTGTATGGACAGATTGGTAAGACTCCAGTGTCTTATTACTCGTCAACTCCTATCATCATGGATAGCCTCTCTGATAGTCCACACTGTGTTTTGTAATTCTGGTATGTATAAGTGTATGTTTTCTACGTCGCTGTAATGCTAAAGGAGTTGTCAGCTGTCAGCATTTGTAGTTATTGGTGCTGTAGTACACTGCTTAGACCTTCAATATGCCTGCCCTAATACTCTTAGTTGTATTATTTGGGAGGAGAACTCTCTCTCTCTCTCTCTCTCACATACACACACACACACCTGACTGTCACCTTGACGGGCAGACAACAGCCTAACCTGAGAGAGTGTAATTGTTTCTCAATGTGTCCACACAACAACACACCCCCCTCACCTGTCCTCTCCCCATTTCCTACAACCCCTCCTCCCCATCATCCGTCCCTCAAACCCCCTCCTCCTAACACACACCCTCTCCCACTCTCACTCCCTTTCCCTCAGCCTACCAGTCTCCACTGACAGATTGACTGACTGATTACATAGCTGACGGTCTGACGGATGCACCTAGCCCCCCCCCCCTTCACCCGGCACTTCTGGCTCATGTATAGAACCAAATACACAATATGCTTAAATACTTCTCACGCAAATGTGAATAACAAAGTATGCGGCCAGACATACTGCCTCACACGCCTGTACTCACGCAGTTGTGAATAAGT